GGCTCAGCAGCCCTCCCCGAATCCAGCGCCGGGGGCACCTTATGATCATGTTAAAATTATGAATCTGATTTTTACGATGATGAAAATGATTTTACCAGCAGAAGGATTTTTAAAAGTTTTTTGGGTTTTGGGGTTTTTTTTGTTTTTGGTTTTGTTTTTTGTTTTTGTTTTTTTTTTTAGTAATCTAGGCATGAAAAGCAAAAATATCCCCCCTCGGGAGTCTTTGAAACTGAAAATATAAAATAAATTAAAAAAATCAAAAAATTAAAACCCACAAAAATATTGAACCAAACCTCCCTGCTAACCGTCATGCCCACGTCTCTTCCCACCCTGTTCCTAGTCTTAACGACAAACTGTACATAGCAGACTCCTCCTTCCTTCTCCGAGGTGGTTTTAATGGCTTCTTGGTGTATAGAAGTTGTCCGTTTGTAAAACTCTGGATTGCGTTTCTCTTTCCCTTCTTTCCCTTCCCTAGGTGATGGGCTTTTCTTTTCTCTTTTTAGTTTACCCGATTTCTTTTTAAGTAATGTGGAACAAAATGGTTTATTTTGTATTGTGATATTGAATATTGTGTTCCTTTTTATGAGGCAACCTGATTGTAAACTTCATGCAACTATAGACTGGAAAAAAACGAGCCGTGCCAAAGTCTCCCTTCTGTTTCTTCAACACACTGATCCATAGCACACACACGCCACCACCACCAACGCTTGTGAATGTATTTTTCTGTTAGCTGGGTTTACATGTGATGTTTTAGTGCTTTTGCAAGTTCAATTTGTTAGTTCCTGTATGAAAGATTGTGGGGGGGGGGGATAAACGTTGTGCCGTTAGCTTTTTCCATAATAACACCCTTCCTTCTGTAAATACCCGTTACCATATTTATCCATTTGTAATTAAATTATGGTATTAACTTGCTACAGAGGAAACAATATTTATAAAGAATGTTTCTTAACTATAAATATGTACACTTGTGGGCATAAACTGTTTCAGATTTTTTATTTGAAGGTTTTAAGTGGTTTGATCATTTCTTGTGATGTTTTGAGAGTAATGCATACAGAAATATAATAAAATGTGTTGAAACTGCATGAACAATATTATTTTTTTCTAGCAAAGTTATTATAAAGCAAAGGGGGAAAGAGGCAGCTGGGGGTTGACCTGCAGATGGGCCACAGTGAGGCTGAGTGAATGGGAGGCCCCACCATGTTTTCTGGGGAGAAAGGTGTGTGTATGCATAAAAAAAGGAGGCCAAACTGGCCCTTTGGCAGAAAGTCTCAAAATTATTTTCTCCGTTCTTTGTTTAGTAGCTGAGAGTGAATTAAATTTTTGGAAAGCCCCTGTAAGGAATGGCGGCAGGAACCTTCAGAGTTTCTAATGGCTCCATTATCTGAGGGAATGCCTTTCTTTCTTTCAGCTATTTGGGCTGGATTTAAGAGCACTAAACATTTCCTTATTCTTTTGTTTTCTCTCTTCCCTGCCTCCTTTCCACTCCTCCCTCTGAAAAGCTGAGGTACAGTTATTTTTAATTGCACTTTTAAAACTAAGTTGAGTACTTTGTTTTTGAACTTGGCCCAATGGTTATAGTTTAAAGGCCCAATTTTTTACCAAAATTTTTTCCTTGAAATTTTAAGCAAGACAGTGTGTTCAAGAAATCCTGCAAAGCAGCTGGGAACAGATGAGCACGACCTTCAAGGGAAGGTGGTAAATATACTAATTTTCATTTTCTTTGGGGAGGGGAATAGATAAGAAAGCCACAACCTTTTTTGGTCCCAAATGAAAGAGACCCTCTTCAAGAGTTCAGTACAATAAATTGGAATACAGATATAAAAACTAAAATTGCCAGGTGGAAGTGAGCTGGAGCTCCAGCCACCAGCTTGTCTTCTGGGTCTGTGGCCTTATTACCCTCCCCCTCTGGAGCTGAACGGTTTTCAAACAAGGTACTCTAAGGAAGAAGGCAAAAATAATTTTAATGACAAAAGGGTGGGGGTGGGGGGATATTTAAATCCCTGAGGCATCCAAACATCTCCATCAAAAAGTCTCCATCTCCAACAGTCTCCCTGAAGCTCTGAAAGGGCTCTGGCGGTCGCGGAGCTACCCCCCTCCCCCCTGCGGCGTAGACTTGGGAGGCAGCAGCACCACCTCCGAGAAATAGCCCAGCGCCGCAGCACCGCGCTTGGTCCGCCGAGAGTACGGGTGGCTGCGATGGCTACCGCTGCTGTGCTCCCCTTCTCGAATGAGCCACGAAGTGCGCTGGGGAAGAGGAGGGCAACCCTGACCTCCGGAGACCACACTACCAGTTCTTTGGGCAAAGAGTTAGTCTAGTGTGTGAGAGTGCGTGTGTGTGTGTGTGTGTGTGTGTGTCCAGAGGGTGACAGACGCTAGGCTCCCCCAAGCGCCAAATGCTGAAGCAATCAACCCCCTATTAAAATCAAATTTATAACCTCTAATAATATTAAGAGAAATTATTAAAATAATGGGCATATGTTACTAGTTTTTAGGAGAGTTCATTGAACACATTATAAGCTGTGAGAAAAATTGTTTAGGGTTTTCCAAAGCCTCCCAGCCCCGTGGGTGGGGGGAACGAAGGAGTCACAGTAAACATTTGTCATGACTTGTGCAAGAGTAAAAGAGCCTATTCCAAATGTTTTCAACTTTTAAATCTTCTTGTTGGAAATTGTTGATTTTGAGACATCAGATCTAAGAAGAAGAATGAAACAAGCGGGCAACTTTAGCATCAACTTAAAAAGCCTCAAGGCTTTTCTTATTTGGGGGGAAAAAGGAAAACAGCAAGAAGCGTTCGACAATCTCAGCATTGAGTTGGTTGGATGACTTAGATCTAAAAGCTGGAGAGCTGCCAGAGGCCCCTTTAGGTCCAGGGACCTAGGGTCCTGGTTTTCAGCAGGAAAATAAAATGTGAAGGAAGAAGACCGCGACCTGGGAGTGGCCTCCTAGTCCACCCTAGGATGTGCGGAGCGGGTGGCGGCAGCTTTCCCATAAAATGGTTCCCAGTTCTCCGGCCCTCGCGTCCCAAGGCTTTGTCCAAACAAGTCACTGACCCGACGGTATAGCCCAGTCTTACCCTTTCGCCGTTCTCTCGCCCTTCGACTGCTGAAAATAGGATGGGGAGCGGAAGGGAGATGGCAGAAGTGGAAGTCTCAGATTGTGTGTGCAGTTTAGAGCCTGGGTAGGGGCTCTGGGCCCAAGAACCTGCACCGCGATCAGGTGCCTGAGCCTGGGCAGGGAGTGGGATGAGGGGGTGCAGACATCTTCCCATCCCCCACCCTTCCCCCACTGTCTAAATAGACCTGCATGCTAACCTGCCCTTGCCTTCACTCCAGAGACACAAGACTGAAGCAGTCCTCACTCCCTGTCAGGGACCCAGAGCTGCGCTGCGGTTCGCTGCCTGCAGGGAGGCCCAAGTGCGGCAGCGCAGGATGGTTCCTGCCAGCCACCACCAACGTGAAGTTCAGTGAGCTCAAGCTTGCTCCCTTCGCGCTGCTCTCCATCCGCCACCAAACAACTCCCCTCAACGCGAGAGTCACTTTATCCCGAGGCTGCTGGAGTCCCCACGGGAGGCCCATCATTATTATTATTAATCATCGTGACCCTCACTGCATTATTAATGACTACATGATAACTGGCATCGGTATCAGCTTCTTCAGGCTCAGGGATGTCCCACGAAGTCCCGAGCCGGGAGGAGGTTCCTCCCGGATCAGAGGCTGCAGCGGTTCTGCTTGGGGCATGAGCCAGGGGACGCTGCTAGGGCCAAGGCTCGGAGTAAAGGAAACACGTTCCAGGCCACACACGCCCATCCTACTCCGAGCCGGCTCCTTTCCCCTCTGCTGGCACCTCTCTTCTTCCTCCCCACCCCTTAGCTCTTTTTGTCTCTTTTTCAGACGGATGTTTTCAGTCTCCATTGGTTTTATTTTCCGCACAAAGAGCAGATCACAGGCTAGACCGAAGGCTCAGGTTTCCCTAGACCCTGTGCTGTACTCCCGCACCCCAGGGTTGGCTAGGAAGGCCTCAGCCCTCTAGGTGAGGGACAGCCTGCCTGGGTGGGTAGGATGGGGAGGCGTTTCCTGATGGGTTCCTCGTGAGCTCACTGGTAGCTGGTATCAGGCATATGTGGGGACCCACCAAATATCCACTAGGGACTCAGACTACCCTCCTTCACATTACCCATGGAAATAATCCCTAATCCATAGGGCATGATAGGCCTGTTTCCAAGGACCAAGAAATAAAGGCCTCAGAATAACACCCAATAATATTTGGATGAGTTTTTCTTTTAACTTCAAACATACACATGCCCCGGAAAGAGGCCCTAGGGATCCAAAGCAGGGGTTCGATAAGTACTTGCCGATTTATTGATTATAGTCTGATATCGCTCTGGTTCCACAGAACTTGGAGCTCCTCGGCCCACTGTTACCCCCAGCAGACTGCAATGAACGGTCTCTATTTTTAACTGGCAGCTCAGAACAAGGCCTTAGAAATGCCTTCTCCACTTCACTTCCCCTCTCTTGTCCCCCACCCCTTCCGCCCCGGCTGATTGTTGCCGGATTTTTATTTTATGTAAAAATCTAGATCTTTCCAGACTGGGTCCGGTGGTCGGGCATAAACCCTCAGGTCTGTCCCGCTGAGCGCCTGAGAAGCAAAAGGCCGCCGTGCCCATTTGAACTGAGTGTTACAAATGAGAACTTCTGTAAACCATAACCAGGGCAGCGGAAGGGTCTAGGTTCATGGTCAAGGCTGTGGGGCGACTGGGGCCAGGCCCCGCCCCGCCCCTCAGCTGCTACCACCGAGATCTCCCGCTAGGAACTTGGGACCAGGGTCCTCCCACTGTAGCCCCGCCCTGATGGGGCACAGTCCGGGAGCCCGGGGTTCAGGGGCCACCTCGTCGTCGCCCTCCCACGTTTCTCTTTTGTTCCTAGGGGCCAGAGCTTTTGAAGAGGTGACACCTTGCTTCGCCTTCCCCAGCTCTAGATCCTGCCCTCGTCCTAGATCCTGCACCCTCCTGATCCAAGCCCAAAGAGGTTCGGCTCAGCTGGCAGGCAGGGGGTGGCGGCGCCCCTTCCTTTGGGCGCGCGCACACGGGCACACACACGCAACACATTCTTCACACCCCAACCGACTCACACTTACACATGCTCACTTCCTTCGGCTTCCGCACCTCCCAGCCACGGGCTCGCGTGGGTGGGAAGGACCTGTGGCCGCAGAGACGGGGGTGGGGTAGCGGGAGGACCCAGCGCAAGATGCTCCCCTCACCCCTCGGCTCATTTCTGCGTCTCCCACCCCTTTCCAGAATCACTCCAAGCTGGCCACATCTGCTGTGCGCCCTAGACTCAACCCGTCTTTGGAGGGGCCACGCCGGGGCGGCACACGGAGGCCGCACTTAGAGCCACCAGCGTGGGACTGGGCAGGATGGAGGCTACCTGCAGTTGAGGGTCCCCCAGGCCCATAACCCGGGAGCTGCGAGAAGCCGGATGGCCCGACCTGCCGGCGCTCCTCCACCCCTGGGGTGTGTGCTGGGGTAGGGGGATCCCCCTCTTCTCTGGGTAAATCTTGAATGAAGGAAGAGTGGACTCTCCCCTCCCCCTCTACAACCCTGGCCTCAACCTCCTCCTTTCCCAGCCTCCTGGAACCAGGCTTCCTCTGTCCCAGAGGCCCAACCAGTGGCCCTGGGGAGCAGAACGGAGCTCTGCGGAGCCAGAGAAGGTGGGGGGTAAAAATAATAATAATGTTAATAATGTCAAAGATAATCATTGTCGTTAACCTTCCGCCACTGAGCTTCTCCTGAGAGGCCCGCAGAGGCCTGGGGAGGCTCCTTACCGGGCAGAACCGGGAGTGGGCATGGGGTTTCCTTGGGGGGGGGAGGGCTCTTTATTTTGTCCCCGCTAAAAAGATCCAAAACCTCGGGTCTGGAACCAGGCAGAGCCAGCGAGGGCCCCTTGCTGCAGACAGGGCTGGTTCTTTTTCTTTTGTCTTGGTCCCCTGGGCCCACAGTGGTTTGTGTGAGGGAGTGAGACTGTGGAGTCCGCTGGGTCTCCGAGGCGCGGCCTCCGCCCCCACCTCCCGGACCTGTTCCGCGGCCTCTCCCCACCCGCCTGGACGCGGTGGCTTTAATGAGCGCCAGTGCGGCGTTGGCCCGGAGGTTCTGAAGATGCGCTGACCTGAGTGGAGGGCGCGAGAGGTCAGGCGCGCGCCGGGTTCCTCCCAGGCCCACGCTGCGCGGATATTGATCCTGGGAGAAAGATAAACAGAAGAGCTGGACATTCAGTCATGAATACTAATGAGCCAGGGTAGGGGTTTTAATTGCTGTGGACTTCCTTTTTCCAGTTAATCCTTATTGCAAACTTCACAGGAGTCAGCTTTCTCCAGCTTCGTTTTGTTTCTCCTCTCCCCTCCCTCCTCCTCATATTTTCATGTGAAATGCCCCGGTGAGAGAGACCCGTGTCACCTTCCTTTCTCTCCCTCGCAGTGCTAGCGCGAGTGCCGGGGTCTACATCCCCGCGTTCCCAGCGTGGCTCAGCTCACTAATTCTGGAAATAGAGGGGATCCTATAAAATAAATTGTTTCAATGTGGGTTTGGCGAGTCTGCTTCTTGACTTCCTCACCCTTATTGTTTCAAATACTTCGTGTCCTTGGCCTTTAAACTTCCTCTTGACAATTGCCTCTTTTCTCCTGGCACCAAACGTATTCCATCCCCAAACGTTCACATTTCTCAAGTCTCCAGGATTTGGCACTGGCTTTGCCAACCGCAGTTTCTAAGTATTTCAACCAAGCAGTGAATTGTTAGGCGAGCTAATTCACCAGTTTACATAATTTTAGTGGTTTCTCTGGTACCTGTAAGCAACACTGAAATATGAGACTAGAACCTAAGGGAAATGTCAGAAAGATTTCTGCCTCCCTTCTTGATATGCATTTTATAACTTAGCCATAACCATTTTCTTAAAGCCACTCTTGAATTGAGTTTTTTTCCCTTGAACCTGTATAAATCAATCGCAAATCCTATGAAGCACTTTTGGTTGTGTGATCAGGAGAGAAAAACAATGCCAGCCCATTTCTGTGACAGACTATGTAGAAATGTGCTTTCAGGCCACACACGCCCATCCTAACGCAAGCCAGAACGCCCTCCTGAACGCAAGCCAGAAAAAATAAAAATCAAATCGAATAATTTCCAATGTTAATTCTGATCTTTAAAGTTTCGGACGAAATAAGCCCATATTTCACATCATTGCCATTAGGTCCCAGCATTGAAGTCTCCTGAGGATTCTGTTTCACTTACACTTTTCAGTCCAAACTTTTTTTTTCTTCCCACAATGATTTATTATGTAAGTAATTTTAAGGGATACAGTTTACAGCTTGAATTATTAGACTGAACACCTCTGGCTGACACCACAACGCCTTTTTTTTTCTGCCTGCAGCTGTGAGTCACAACCCCATTTTCATACTCAACTGCTGCACATTCCTTCACAATGTATACTTCCTTCTTGCAAAGATCAAACATGCTTTGGTCAAAGTGTTTATTTTAAAATACAGGAAAATTAAAACTAAACACAGCTCTACTGAAAAATCCCCAAATGTATCATATTTTCCTCCTGTGCCCACAAAAAAAAAAAAAGTAACAAATTGCATTACTTTCTGGAATAAAATTTTGAATTGAAGAACACATAGGCATATAAAGACACACTTTTCATTTTATTTTGGAAACACAGCAGAAAATATCCCACTTCTGTTCATATCTAGGTTTCTGTTTGAATGGCTTTAATTTTTACCATAAAAATATCACAGGCCAAAAAATAACATCAACGTCATTAAAAAGATGCTGAAGGCATCTGTTTTATTCACCAACCTACACACTCCTTGTTCTTAGTGGATTTTTCCATCTTAGTCTTTTTATTTTAATTATACCTTCCAGAAGGCAACTTTGAGAAGGATATCTTGGAGTATTTTCCAAATAGAAAACAAAAGGACTCAATAGCTCTGAAATAACAATTCCCAAGTGTCTCTGTAGGTCTTTGGTGTGTGCGTGTGCTTACTTTTTCACTTCAAATTAAGGTGAAAAATTCTAAGGCAGAATCACTCCTTCTCAACACCTAAACCCTGGAAAGTGGATTCTACCTGAGGATCTTAGAGAGCGAGCTGCCCTTGGGCAGCACGTTGCCTGACTGCTTCTTTCAGCTTCCCTTGGCTCCCTTGTGAAAGACACACAGACTTCAGCCACCTCCTCTCTGAGGCAATTTACTCAGCTTCTCCGGCCACAGTTCCTCAACAGGGCAGAAATTGTTGGGCTGTTTTTAATAAAGTTTGGAAGCTGGATCTTTTCCCCGGGACGACTGTGCCCAGGGGTGGATCCGGCTGAATGTCTGGCTCTGCGGGCAGCGGTTTCAGCCACTGGTTTTTCAGACACAACACTAGAGAATGGCATTGAAATAATCACGTGTGGCAGAAATGTTTAAAAAATATTAACTTCTCATACCTCCCATACTTCTGAACTAAAAGGCAAAAGGAGCCGAAAGGAAGTCTGACATGATACTCATTTACTTACTGAAAGCAGACTAAGAAACTGTAAAGATACTTGGTGCTTTAAAAATGTACTCTACAAAATCTTTCAAATTGGATGCCATTTAAGGTCAAAAATAGTAAAGATATTTTTATGATTTGATTGGTTAAAACTTTGCTATACATTAGTGATAATAAATAAACAGACCAGAAGTTTCTATCCAGGAAGAACTTGGGGAGCATACAGAAAATAATCTGTATGTGATACTCTTCCTCCTATTCTCTCAGGGGAGATAAATTACAGTACATACTATTTGTATTTTTTTCACATTAGAGAAATAAATAAAAACATTTAGCTTTATATGCTACTGAAAATTCTTTGCAAGAATGAAAAATTCAGGATTTTCAAGATAAAGAACAAAACAAAGAGTCGTATTACAGTCTTCCTCTAAAATACATTTCTTCCTTTGCTGGGTCTTCAAATGACATCTTTGGTGACTTTTTGTTTATTTGAACAATCTTTTCAAATTAAAATGCACCGAATATTTTCCCCTAGCTAGCTTAACTTCAGACACACAAACATTTCAAACAATTCTAAATAGAAATACAAGTGTTTTTGTAAAGCCTGAGCAACATTTCATATGTTAATTAATTTATTGTGACTTTCCTATTTAGTAGATTATCAGATATATCAAAAATTTTCACCTTGAAAATGTGAACTCCTTAATCTTATAAATTTGAGAAACTATTTTTATAATAGGTAATTTTAGGTTTATACTTTCATTTCCATTTTTTGAATCCAAGTGAGTTCATTCTGAAAACAGATTTGGACTAAAGGGAAGTAATGAAGAGTCTTAAAGTATTAATAAAGTACATCTCAACTGTGTTACACACACGAGGTTCTTGAGTAGGAAAAAATGTTTCAACTGAAGAGGGCCATCATATAGACCATCTGACTTCAAATGCTTTCTACAGAAGTTTAACATTGCTATTTTATAACACAGCAAAAATATCATCTGAAGCTTCCGGGTGACATTTTCTAAATCTTCTTGTGATATTAAGAGATTACTAATTCAGACATGTAACAAATGACTGACTTTATTGGGCAAAATACTGCTTCATCTATTCGTTAATGTAGATATCTCACATAAGGGGTGCTATTGTAACCTATGCAAGTTCTCTTTTTTGTACAATTGTATTCCCTTATAGGCAGTCTACTATTCTCTTATGCCCCCCGCATTCTTGCACTTGAAGGTGAACGTTGGGTACTCAGGTTGGAAACCAAATCGAGTGTCTTACGAGAAAGCAAAAGATGTCTCCCTCTGACAGATGCTACTCTGGGTGCCTTTTCTGCTAAGCAGATCTCAGAGCTAAATTAGCCTCATCATTTGCCTCTCTTTTTTTCCCCTAAGGTTTTGGTCCAAGTGGCAGCCCTCCCTGCAACAGACCATAGGTTCTGTTCCATAGCTGTAATGTCACCTATTTCTTTGCTTCAAGTTTTCCTTTGTGTTTAAGCTATAGCAAAATAAGTTTGAAAATCATTTTTAAAAGAGCATTTTCAAGAAACACTTCCTTTCCTGCTGCCAAACAGCGCTGCTCCCCAACCTCTTGGCTGGGACCCTTGCTTTCGATTTGTTTGTTTCACGCGTTTCCCTAAAGAGCCCGGCTCTTTGCGCTGTTTAATTCTGCTTTTAAAATGCATCGCCTATGACCTAAATCATTTTCTGAAACAAATTGCTATCGAAAGTGTACCAGATTCGTTCCAAATATGGGATTTGGATCAATATTCTCGTGGTATAAATATTTTTTAAAAATGTTTTTTGTCGTAGGAGTTCACACTTTTGCAATGTATTTTCAGTTGAAGTAGGGTTGCCTGTATTTCTCATGATAAACAAAAAGTAGCAATTACCGACTGCTTAGACTTTCCTTTATTATTATTTTTAGCCTGTGTATCATTACCTAACTGGTATGTGTTGTTCTGTCCAGCTCTTGATGATCTAGTTGAATTCTAGACATTGTGCCAAGAAGTGTATTTGAAGCAGATAAGTGCGTATAACACAAATGCGTTTTGTTAGACCTGATGGATGCTATTTTTCTTTTAATAGGTTTGTAGCAAACTAACACAATAACACAATGTATTCCTTTTCAAGGTACATTGTTGAAACAGGTCTATTAAGAGCGCGTTGAGCTATTTCTCGCTTCTATTGAACAGTCTGTTGCTCAAACACAACAGCCAACAAACGCCAGCTGCCTCAACAAAAGTAGAAACCTAACCCTTTTATGTAATGTTTTAACAGAAAGGGTAGCTCTGTTTAATTAAAAACATTGATGATTCAGTGAAACAATGGAAACTCAAGTTCAAGTGGTGCTCTATTGATTTAAGATGATTTTTTACTAGCAATGGGTATAATTCATTTTTTTTCCCAGCTCTCTCTTGTGTAAAGGGGTTCCTTCTAGGGGCATTATTTGGGTGAATAGGAAAAGACAGAGATGGCTATTGCCTTAAAAACCTGATTAAGGCATGTTGCTTTGAGGGTAAGGTGTTTAATTTATAAGTGCACCCCATATTTTTTGTCAGTTTATTCGCGGCGGGGAATCTTTGAAAGTAGCTCCTCTCAGCAGGTTAAAAAGTGAAGTCTGCGTCCTGGCATTTAAATGTCTTTGTTATTGTGTCAAGCAAGTTGTTGAAAACTGCATGCCTGGAATACTAAGGTTGGGCAGCTAGAGGAGGCAAGTTGTGTGTGTGTGTGTGTGTGTGTGTGTGTACGTGTACGCGCCCCTGGGCGCAGAGCTGTGTTGGGAGGACAATTATTTTCATCAGCTGCTGCTAGCCCGCGCCCGTCTGCTCCTCTTTAGAGAACCGACGGCCTCCTGGCTTTCAACTCTGGAAGTGAAGCAGGACGAATTCCTCCTTGGAGACTCCCTCCTCGGAAGCGTCCAGCTCTCTCTGTCTTGATGAGTGGGGCTCGATAAAGGGTAGCCGGGTCACCGGGGCAGGGGAGCACTCGAGGGCCGCGAGGCTCTGGCCCCGCCGTCCTCAGCCGTGCGGTCAGCCCAGGAGGGCGGCGGCCTCGGGTCCAGGTGGGCGGGGCAGGTGCTTCCCCCGCAGCCGCGGCCACAGCCCGCGCCATCCCTGCTGCCCGCCGGAGCCAGGGCGGCCGAACGTGGCGGCCGCGTTTCACGCTCCTTCCTCCTACCCGGGCCCCCAGGCCGAACTTCCCAATTCCCATAACCCCGAGAACGTGAGGGCTCTGAGGGGACGCAGGCCCCGTCCACTCGCCCGAGGACCGGGAACTCGGCCGCCGGCCCTGTCCCCGGGGGCGCCCCCTCCACCCGCCCAGGCCGGGGAGGAGCCGTGGGCGACGGCCAGGGCCTCTCCAGGGTCTTTCTCAGCGGCCTGTCCCCAGGTGGGACAAGAACAGAGCGACTCCTAGGTTTGCCCACCTGCTCTGACCGCGGCCTCGAGGGCCGCGCTTCCGCCGCCACCGACGTCCCGCGCACCCAGAGGTCAAAGGGCGCGGCCCGCCTCGCGGGCTTCCGGGGCGGTGTCCCTGACCCTGCCTGTCCCCACGCGACCGCGGGCCGCGGGGCCGCGAAGGCCGCAGACCGTGGGGCACCGTCGTGGATGAAACCCCGTGGGAGACAGTGCCCAGAAAAGGGACCTGGGAGGGAACGGTCCGCATGGGCCCCTCAGGCCTACAGTGAATTATTTAAGCTGTTCCTGGTGTTTAAAGAGGTTTTTCAGTTTTTAAAGAATGTTGTAAAAAAATATCAGCCCTTGTTAACTCCCTCATTACATGCTTTTTTCCCCTCGGCTGAACAAACCCTATTTCCTGAGACCGAGGAGCTATGTAAGTGTTTAAACATGTGTCAAGTGTCTTATAAATAATACAAATTCATAGAGAAGAGGAGGAAATTTAACTGATACCTGAAGTAGTTGGCATAGCTGCATTTCACTGTGAGGTTATTCTTGGCTGTGGGGCGTAAGGAAACTACCCGGAGAGGTGGCGTAGAGTGGAGCTCTTTCCTCTGCTCGCCCGCCTGTGCTCATCCCCGCTCTGGAAATGACTGGTGGGGGCCTGTGTCCAGTCAGTGGAAGAAGTTCAAGTGTTCTGCAGAGTCTGTACGTTACAGAGTTAATGCTCAGCATTTTGGAGTTGCCTTTCTGTCTTTTCCTCTCAACCCCCTATCCTTTCCCCATTTTCCTCTCTGCTCTTGTATCCAAGTATCTGCTGCTATGACATAGCTGTGACATTTCCCTTTTTTGTTTTGTTTCAGACAGAGTCTCTATGTCTGTTGCCCTCGGTAGTGTCACAGCTCACAGCAAGAACCAGACCCCGTCTCTACTAAAAATAGAAAAATTAGCTGGGTGTCATGGTGGGCCTCTGTAGTCCCAGCTAGTTGGGAGGGTGAGGCATGAGGATTGCTTGAGCACAGGAGTTCAAGGTTGCTGTGAACTAGGTTAAGGCCAAGGCACTCTAGCCCTGGCAACAGAGTGAGGCTCTGTCTCAAAAAATAAATAAATAAATAAATGTTTTCATAAAGTCAGAAATATCTTGATTTTAAAGCATCATAATCATCGTGAGTATGATTATCTTTGATTTGGAAGATTAACAAAAATTGATTGTAAACCTGTCTTTCATACTTTGACCATGTTGTTAAATTAGCTGTGGTCCCTGTGCTATATGCAACAACAGTGTTCTTGACCCATTCCTTAAAACAGTACCATGGATTTCCATAAAACTCCATCCACATATTTCTAGGGTACTCAAGAGATGTCTTAGGTATTTTCAATGACAAGTCTGATAGTAATAGTATATTACATTATTTTTTCTTTTTTTTCTTTGAGACAGAGCCTCCAGCTGTCTCCCTGGGTAGAGTGCTGTGGCATCTCAGCTCACAGCAACCTCCAACTCCTGGGCCCAAGCAAGTCCCCTGCCTCAGCCTCCCAAGTAGCTGGGACCACAGGCGCCCGCCACAATGCCCGGCTACCCTTTGGTTGCAGCTGTCATTGTTGTTTGGTGGGCCTGGGCTGGATTCGAACCCACCACCTTTGGTGTATGTGGCTGGCACCTCAGCCACTTGAGCCACAGTTGCTGAGCCAGTATATTACATTTTTAATCTCTTCTCCAAGTATTTATCTTCTCCTATAGGCTTTGCCTCCCTATGGTTGCCTCACCGACATGCTCTGTTGACTGGTCTGCTGGGTGTGGCCTCTCTGGTCAGATACCTCTTCTGTGTGCATGGTTGCTGCTGCCTCTGGATACAGCTGGTGATAACTGTGCTGGCGATTTAGAGATACCAAAGCTCTGTTGTTGATTATTAGGGATAGAGTCTCTCACAGGGTTCCATACCTATGGTCTGCAGTGTATTTTGTCACTGGTCTTCATATAAACAGTATTTCTTTTCTTTTTATTTCCTGAGACAGAGTCTTACTCTGTCACCCTGGAATTGAGTGCCGTGACATCATCATAACTCAGCCTCCAACTATTAGGCTTGAACAATCCTTATGCTTCAGCTTCTTGAGTAGCTTGGACTACAGGTGTCTGCCACAATGCCTAGCTAATTTTTCTATTTTTAGTAGAGACAGGATTTTGCTCTTGCTCAGGCTGGTCTTGAACTCTGAAGCTCAAGCAGTCTGACCCATCTCAGCCTCCCAGAGTGCTAGAATTACAGGCATGAGCCACCACACCCAGCCAGTATTTCCATTTTTATTTGTAGCCTCACTGTTTTTAATTTGAATCCAACATGGTCTGAACTAGAGATAATTTCCAGTATCAAGAATTAATAGTACATTCAAAATTACTCCTCTAAGCAACCCTTGGTACTTTGTTTCTAAATCAGGCTACCCAATTTTCTTTGCTTAAGATAGTAAGTTTACTCCCAGGAGGCTTTTCTGTCTCTCTGTAAATACATTTCAGGTGGTTGTCTTCCTGTCATTTCAGAATTGCTCAGATACTTATGAGTCCTAGTGAAAAAAGATAGGAATAACTAGGATTATTTCTCTTGCTCGTACTTTCACTTAGACATAAATCTGTATATATACAGATCAACTCCCAGATTGGCAGATGAAAACTTTGCTGAGTTTAACAAATACCTTTTTGATGTGTAAACAATTCATAATAAGAATGCCAGCCATCTGTTGAAAGACAAACAATAAAAAACAAATAATTGTGAACAGAATAGTCAACGCATACATAATTTACTAATTTGTTATTTGTTTTTAAACTTTAGCCAGTTGTCAGTAAACTGACATATCTAGGAACTTTCTGAGACAAGACTCTGATGCTAAATTCAGATAGGGAATTTTGATCTTTTTCGGTATG